ATATCTCCCTCCTCCAGTCTACCACTACCACAGTTAATCTTAGTATTAGGTATGTCCCCTCCCTTACTCTTATATCTATCAATACATACATCTATCATATCTCCCTCCTCCAGTCTACCACTACCACAGTTAATCTTAGTATTAGGTATGTCCCCTCCCCTACTCTTATATCTATCAATACATACATCTATCATATCTCCCTCCTCCAGTCTACCACTACCACAGTTAATCTTGGAATCTGGTATCATATCTTTAATAAATTCCTCACACATCACACTGTACTGGGTGATTTTACCATACACGTTTCCCTGGAAGAATCAGAAGATATAAAACTAGAATAAAAATCCGTACCTTCAAGGCAATTCCGTCGATCAAAAATCTCGTCCAAAGAATGGTAAAATGGGAGCATAATAAAATTAGAAACTTATATACAAACAACAACTAAATATTGAACATTTCTTTATTCCATGATATTCCTTTTCTATCATTTATTTTGCTAATATTTTATATCAACGACCATCATGTTTCTTTAGCAAGGGAACAAACAAATAAACAAATAAACAAACAAACAAACAAGTAAACAAATAAACAAACAAGTAAACAAATAAACAAATAAACAAATAAACAAATAAACAAACAAACAAGTAAACAAATAAACGAATAAACAAACAAATAAACAAAAAACAAACAAACAAACAATGTCCTGTAAAGGAACATGACAAACAACTCATTTTATGTACAATGATGTACATTTTAACAGGTAGAAAATTTATATAAAAAATACTCTATGATCTTATATTGATGTACCAGATAGCTTAAATAGGTTGACCAGCCCAGTAATAGAATTTTATCTTGTCTACTGGAATATTTAATTGGCTTATTTTAATCCTACGTAAAAACACCATGCAAAGGAATTTATGTCATTATATCCATTAGTAAGAGAGTTACCGAAGTAGTAAGTAATGTCAACTATATAAAATAGCTTGCCAGGCAACGTATTATACGCAGCTTTGATTTTAATAAAAAAATATCTGGCAGTAATGTAACAATCATTAGTAAGAGAGTTGTTAACCCAGTAGTAAGTAATGTCAACTATATAAAATATTATTTTCTCAGTTATTTGTATATGTCCAGTGCCCCTCCAAGCTAAAGTGTACTTATATTTTACAATGACTAATGATGTATTTTAGAAACACCATGCAGTGTACAATGAGGGAAAAAATGCCAATAAAATCATACCCCTGGTAAAGTATATTCATTAGTATCAACTCTTCTTACAACCATAAATTCTAAAACACGTTTATCTTCTATCGTTAAAAATTCACCACGTAGACCAAGGTGGGATGTTTTACGTTTCCAACGCGTTACCACGGCAGCTATTCTGTGATTAGGTCCCCATCTCCATAATTTACCTCTACCACGCATACCAGTTCGACCAAACGGATTTCTAAAAACAGAATTGAAAATAAGGAATTAACATCATTCAAAACAAACACATCATTTTGGGAGGTTGATTTTGGTCTTGAATATATGTAAACAGTCTTTAGAAATGTGCGAAAATTGCATAATTCCTTCAAAAATATCTCAAACTAGGAATTTCTTTTCCTATTTCTATAGATGTGTTTTCTATATATGGCAGTGTCTCAAAAAAAAGACGAGTTGTCATTGTAACTTTCAAACACGAATAAGTCTTGTGGTCTGTGAAAAACTATTACTGATTGGCTTAACTAAAAAATTCCCCTTTCTGAGACTAAAGTACAATTGTTCAAACAGATGGTGAACCTGTCCCTTTAAATTGAGATAAAATATAGGTAAGGGGAAAGTGAGAGTGTTTATTAAAATTACTAACTTAGGAAGGCCACTTTTATCAATTTTATATCGATATGGTTGATCGTTTTCATGTATATATGAACATCTGTCTATTTCAATATGTTCACCGTTCACATCAACTGAACAATGTGAGTTCCACCACGGGTTAAATTCTGGAGTCTCTTCAATTTCTTCTAATTCATCTGGTTTTAATTTCTTTCTTTCTTCCTTCTCTTTCTTAATTCTATCAAAATAAATATTTTATACAGAATTATAATAACATAACATCAATGAAAGTAAGTTTTTATCCTAATATCATGCAGCATGCAATCAAGAGAATTTTACCAGGACACTGGCATAAGCCTTATTTTTTATGATTTTGAACCGTCCAGGGATCTTTCATTTGCTCAGTCTGTAGCAGACAAGGTTTCTGATTATTGTCCCATCTGATCGACTAAACACAACTGTTAAAGAGTCAGCTAACAATAATGTCAAATGCTTCAGCTATTTAGTAGAGGCTGCATTCTCAAGATAAATCCAGTAATCTGATTGGATAAAACTAAATATAAAATCAATTTTAGTAATACAAATTAACCAATCAGATGACTGGAAGACTAAAATCCTCTTCAGTAAAGTTTCAGTGATGAAGACCCCAGTATTAATGTTATTATTCTCTAAAAGAATACTCAAATCTAACTTACGCTAAAATATCTGGATCTACAAACATTTGAATTTCCTGGTTAAAATCTTTAATTGGTCGTGTATAGAGGGAAGGATCGTACGTTATATATTCTACCTGGAATAAAACACATCCAAGTTTATATTCGTTACATATCAGTTAAATAGGAACGGGGAAGATAACTGTTCAAAGGGAAAAACTATTGTAAGGGAAAAACATCCAATCCAATAATACAAATTAATACTTACTTCCCAAGGCACGTATTTATCAAAAACAGGGAATCGTTGAATTCTGGTTCCAGGGTAGGGGGACTGTCTAGCTGAGAAATGCACCAGAGTTCGCAGTGAGGCAATAGTTGTTTTAGAATCTGAAATGAAATGGCGTTTCATGTCCTATTTTTCTATGCCATGAGTGTACAATGAGGGAAATTTTATCAGGACAACGACTCTTTTTTCGTTTTTGCGATTTATCAAGAGATCTTTAATGTAAACAGGTTGAAGTTAATGGGATCTCAGTTTTTAAAATCTAAAATTAAAGGAAATATATAGGCTAGAACAATACACTAACAAGCGAATATACTTTACTTTCGATCAATGAATCTACAGCTGGTATTAGATATTGTTAGCCACTTTTCTTATCGTGGCGTCATACAAATCATTTAGTTTTAGAGGAATTGCAAGAACCAAAGACGTCTGACTGAAAATTGCAATAGTGCAAATTGATGCTTTCAGTGTTTCCGATAAACATAAAAAGTTAGGAAAACCTCTTTAATATACCTTTTTTGAGCATGTGTTTAATTTCTTCCAGCATGAGACAACATGATGTAACACCTCGTTCTAACGTCACAATTCTATCATTCATTCTCTTATTCTGTTGTTTCTGTTTTCCCATATCATCGAGTAACACGTTTACACTGAAAATAATATCATCATCTAGTAACACGTTTACACTGAAAATAATATCATCATCTAGTAACACGTTTACACTGAAAATAATATCATCATCTAGTAACACGTTTACACTGAAAATAATACTATCATCTATTAACACGTTTACACTGAAAATAATATTATCATCTAGTAACACGTTTACACTGAAAATAATATCATCATCTAGTAACACGTTTACACTGAAAATAATACTATCATCTAGTAACACGTTTACACTGAAAATAATATCATCATCTAGTAACACGTTTACACTGAAAATAATACTATCATCTATTAACACGTTTACACTGAAAATAATATCATCATCTAGTAACACGTTTACACTGAAAATAATATTATCATCTATTAACACGTTTACACTGAAAATAATGTTATCATCTAGTAACACGTTTACACTGAAAATAATATCATCATCTAGTAACACGTTTACACTGAAAATAATACTATCATCTATTAACAAGTTTACACTGAAAATAATATCATCATCTAGTAACACGTTTACACTGAAAATAATATCATCATCTAGTAACACGTTTACACTGAAAATAATATTATCATCTAGTAACACGTTTACACTGAAAATAATACTATCATCTAGTAACACGTTTACACTGAAAATAATATCATCATCTAGTAACACGTTTACACTGAAAATAATATCATCATCTAGTAACACGTTTACACTGAAAATAATATTATCATCTAGTAACACGTTTACACTGAAAATAATATCGTCATCTAGTAACAAGTTTACACTGAAAATAATATTATCATCTAGTAACACGTTTACACTGAAAATAATACTATCATCTATTAACAAGTTTACACTGAAAATAATATCGTTATCAAGTATCTTGTCTACCAGCTTGGTAATAATTTTACAAGAATAACAACCTGGGCTCCCAAAGATCCTGTCTACCAACTTGTCCCTGGAGGATCATATCTACCAGCTGAACCTTTGTCAAACCCAATGCATTTGTCTGCCTGCCAAATTCTAAAATGTTAATAATTCTAAAAAAATCTACCTTTCTATCAGATTGTCCTGTTGTTTTTCTTTATCTTTTTTCTCATTTTCTTTTGTAATAAAGAGTTTGAGTGTTCGTTTCCAGTAATTAAAATCTGTTCCACGTCGTATTTTTACAATCTGAATTTTCTTGGCTCCATCCTATGAAATATATAATAATTGTGGTTAGGCATCGTTTTTAATATTCAACTTGAAAGTCAGACCCATCTTTCTCAAAAAATATTCATCAAAATTCAGGCTCCCATTCCTCTTAAATTCAATCGTTAAATAAATTCATGATAATTTTTGTCGTAGGTCTAAAAATAATTAAAATTGTCACATCAAATATACATTTTGATTATTAGATTATTGAGCTGTTAAGATGTTGTGATATTTTAAGAGGAAATGGGCCTGACTTCAATCAGTGAATTTTGAAAAAAAATTAGAATGAAATAAAGAATAAAACATCTTAACAAAAAGAAGAGAAATCAGGTAAAAATAATATATATAATTTTATCTCAAGATTAAGAGATGACATTTGTTGGTTATTTTTTAAACTGGAATATATGAGGCTAGAAATCGAGTTAGGAATTGAGGTGGATATCAAACCATAACCATC